AAAGGGAAAAGCCACCTGCACAAGTGAAGTTTAACAGCAATCTGCCTTCCCCTTCCTAAAAACAGGGTCTCAAGACACCATACAGTGAACAGGTTTGACAGAGTAGGAAAGATCTAGCTCTTTTAGGTGCTGAAAAACACTGTCAGCACAGGAGAAGCCAGGGTATTAAATTAATTATTTCTCATTACCAATGCCCTACACTAAGCAGAGCAGGAGGCAAGCCAGGACAATGCCCCATGATGAAAGAGATGCTACTAATAAATGAGACCCGGCGAGCATCCCTGCCTCCTTTCAGAGCCTTTTACAGAAGAAGAAAAAAAATGGCTCTCGATTGCTTCTAATAAGGCCTGGCTTAAATTGGCTGAAAAATAATGACCCAGTTAAGTATAGCGCACATGTGAGCCTACCACACTGCACATTAGGCAGGCTGCTAAAAGGTGGTGCAAGAAGGGCAGTTAGAGCTGCTATAATGTGGTTAATAATTGCTTAGAGCTCCAGACACAGCTTGGGGAGACGCCGAGAAGCCTGTGGCAGTAACAGCCCTTACCAGAGCTCGGGGACGTTGCAGGGAGCACGAATGAACGTGTAGTTCTTGTGCTCTATGGCCACTGCTCCATCAACAAGGAGTTGCAAAGGGGCTGGTATTGCTTATAGAATTTTCTCGTCTTTGCATCACAACAACAGCTAGGAGGAAATCTCATTATAAAACCTTTGCAGAACCGCGCTGAAGTCGAGATCAACGCGTTGAATACCTTCAGATTTAAACGTCTTCGTCAAATCTTATAAACCAGAGGGATTACACAGCAAATGAGTGTTCGGTCTAACATCTTTAGGAAAGGTTGACATCTTGTTCATTGCTCTGTGTCTGCTGTAGACTGGTGTTTTCTGAAACAAAGCAAGGCAGCTCCCACCTGCAGCTCACACAGTTACGTGGGAGTGAACTCAATGCACAGCCTGTATTTGAAAGACTTAAGTGGTATCCAAGCTCTTTTGTACTAAATGGCAGTTGCAGACCAGCACATCTTGACACTCCAAGCATCAGGAACCTTTCTTGTTTGCACTGCTTATTGAGGACATTGTTTCTGACTTCGATAACCTATTTAAATGAGTAATGGGTAAATTTAATGAACAGAGGAAATGATCTCTTCTCCACAAACTAATGATTTTCTCCCGCTTTAATGTGATACGCTAAAGTAAGAGGAAAGTAGTAGGAGATCCCAAGAAGCCACTATGAAAACAGTTGTTGAAAGGCAGAAGGAAGCAGTGATGCTTCCACTTGTGCTAACGCATGGTGCCAGATGCTCTGTCTAGACAGGACATAACAGAGTATTCCAGGCACCAGTTCTTACAAACATACAATCTCTGTACGAGTCCTTATTCATAAAGCATCCTTAGTTGGCAGAGGTCGGCCTCGGAGCCTTAAAAATACCCCACCAGAGGAGTGAGCTGTTTCTTCTTCTGCCTCCGGGCACCAGGATGTTCTGCACACAGAAAGCTTCTCCAAACACACACTGATGTCTCTCTGAGGACTGGCAGGCTTTTTGCCACCACGCTCCCAGATTATTTATCTAAGTGTTAACTGGCCCACCAAGGTCCTCTGGCAAGATTTCCTACCTTCTCAGGGTAGCTCCTTACTTGGGGAGTGCACATTGCAACTGCGGAAGCGCACGGCCTTGTCCCACACCACCGCTCGAGAACGACACGAGCACAAAGGGCAACTTTTGTGAGCCTGAAGTAACAAGAGATTTCAAAATGAAAGGCCTCGCCCAACAGTAAAAACATGGACTGTGCCCAGGAACTCTGCTCCGTGCATGGAAACTGTCTAGGAGAGCTATCATACAAAACATTTACACAATAGGCATCTGGCAGCATTTTCAGACATTTTTTTTAATTTATTCTGACATGCTATAAAGGAATAAATTACACTGTTAAAGAATTACCAGCAATAAAAGTATTCTTTCTTTCAGCTGGGCTAGAATAGGAGTGAGAAGGAAGACAGCCCGGGGCAGTAACCAATGTGAACTCTGCATGGTATGAGGCTGTCCCCAAGAACAAGTATAAATCTGGTCATATCCACTTCACAAGAACTTGAAAGAAAATGCCTTGGTTTAAAACCATCCAAATACTTCCATCCAAATTTGTCTCGAGACTGGCAAGCACAAGTTAGGCCAGCCAATGTATGACATGGCAACACATAAAAGGCTACCAAGACTCGGTCTGCAAAAGATGCCGGTTTGTTTTTAAAAAAATCCAATCTCAGAAGAGAGGGCTGGGTCTCAAACAGGTTATAAAAATGCAAGACTGTCCCTTCCCCCTCCAGGAAAAAATACAAAATTCATTTAAAAACAAAAGCGAGGAAGAGTTACACCACTAAATCTAAAATGATTTAGAAAGAAATATGACTTCTTTTGCTTAACACATGGCCTTGAAACCTGGTTTTAAAAAAACTGGGGTGATGCAGATTTCTTAACTGAATTAACAAGGTAAATTAAAAAAAAATCTCATTTCCTTACAGAAACAGTTTTTAGTTTTTAATGAACTTGTAAACAAAAAAGTTCCCGCTTCAAAATAAAAACAAAATCCCAGATCGTATAGATGTTTACAGTGATTACATTTATCTAAGCAACTTACATACAGGTTCAGTTGTAAGATGTTAACTAAATTTCTGTGACAAATATGCTGTTTTTCCTTTTATACCAAGAACATTATAGAGTTAATGCAGAGTCCTAAAGATTATCTAGTAGTCGCTAAGTTTCTCTTAAGTCTTCACTTTAGATGCTGTTACTTCTAGCACAGGTAAGCAGGCAGAGTCTTTCATATGCTTAAAAACTGGAATCTTTGGTTACTACCATGTCAGCTGGCTTGGTATGTTGCACATAGAAGCCAACAACTTTAAGAATGTTTTAAGTGTACAACTTTTAAAACCCAGGGAGGAATAACCAGAAAAGAGTGCACAATTGTGAGCATTTACAATTATCACAACTGTTGCCGAAGACTGTTCATGCCATTCTTCCAAAACAATGAGATCTCATAAGCAGTGTAGTTCAAAGTAAAAAGGTAACAAAAATTGGCATATGCACAATTTTCTCCACTTGTGTGTCAACCATTAGTTAACTTCTCCACTTGAAAAAAATGCAATAGAAAACTGGACACCATGTTTCACTATCTCAGTAATATTCACAATTACAGCTGCTACAACTCAAAGTGCAGCATCATTGACACTGCCCAGAGCCAGTTTATACTGATATTAAGTTCTTTACACCAAGTAAATGGTTGCCCACAGCCACTGGCAAGTGTACTTATGAACTAAAATTTCTAGGATTTGGGGAGTGACAAGTCCTGCTCCGATCTGCTCTGCTTTGTCCCATCCTCTCCATGCTCAGAAACCTGCAAGATAAACACAAGGGCATCTTACTGGCACTGGAAGAAAATGAGAAACAGCCTCCACGACAGGAGAATTCAATATCAACCATTACGATCATCCACAGGGGAAAAATGTTGCTCCATTTTAGAACTGCAGAGTTCCTGACACCCCTTTCCAAAGCTACAGCGCTTGCTGTCACTCTTCAGCTCAACCACACACCTCTCGCTCGCACCCACTGCTGCAAGGGAACACACTATTATGCACCAGCTGCACAGCGCATTCCTCAAACAGGAATCCAGACCCACAGTTTGAAAACAAGATGCGTTATTGCCACTAGGAAGCAGGATGTAATTTCATAGGATTGTTTTCTCCTGGCCTGCAATGCCTCATGTTTTTTTTCCTTGAATGTCAAACTGTCATCTGATTGTGGTTGTGCTCTTCAGCGACACAGAATGGCAGTATCACACGACAGGAGGAGAAAGAAACAAAAATAACTTACCTTACAGTAACTGGTGTTCGCTACATGCTCGGATCTACGACACTCTGGCCGACCAGAACAGAAATGAGAACCTTTGGCAGTGACTAGGAACCCAGCCTACCTTCTGTCCTTGGAGGGACAAGGGAAACTACTTGTTCTCGACATCCCACATTCCCCGTCACACAATTGCTTCAGTGTTCAGGACTCCAAATGACAAGTTTGAAGAAAGGGGAGAGTAAAGGAAAACACGCACAGAACTTGAAGAACCAGTTACTGCAAGCTAAGTCAGGCTCCTGTTTGTGTGATTTCTTATATTCTCATTTCTGGTGACTCAGGTTGTACCATGGTGCTATTACGGCGGTAACAGGAGCCTTCGCCACAAACTACTTGGCCCAGCAAGTTTCCGTTCTGAAGGCCTTCCAAATAGGATAGTACTTTGTGAACATCAGAATCAACCTCAACAACAGCTCAGTTTTTAATAACAGAAATATGCTAACAGGACCGCTGACATGCTAGAGAATTCTGCACTGAAATTAAGGACATCTCTGCAAACAGAATTGATTCAATGTATCCTGGGGATTGATAGTTATGAGTCAGTTTTATATGAGGGAAGGTGACTGCATGTATGGTCACCAATTGTGCCTGATCAGTCTACTGCACTGTCAAGAGATACAGAGCTAAACTTCCCAGAACCAGAAGCACATGAGAAGCTGCATCCTTGGAACAGCTTCCCTCTCCCATCTTCAAAAAGCAGCTGATTCTGCCTTTACCAAGGACTCTGTACAGGGTTCCAGAAGAGGAATGAAGAGATGAGAGGGAAAAAATGGGTCCAAGTTAAAGTCAAGGATACCTGCAAATGAGCATGCTCACACTGGGAGTAGGGTAAATCTACAGATTAATTTGGATGAATTCAGATTCTTCCAAGATGCAGGTTTTCAACAGTGCTTGCACTTTATACAGCATACTCAAGATTATTACTGATAAATGCCTCTGTATATTACTATTACCCTTATTAAACTAGATAAAGAGACAAAGGGAGTGAAACTACCAGCAAAATAAAACACAAACTGGCTAATTTAAGCCAGTCTCTATCTTCACACTGTCACTGTAAACAAGAACTGTTGCTGTGATGAAGAATGTGCACTCTTGCTCAGACTGTTTCTTCCTGCTCCAACAGGCAGCCTTTCCACACACCCCCCCAGTATCAGGCTGGATTCAGTGGTAGATTCTGAATTTCAGGAAAAGGACAAAAATCTGAACCCAGCTATTTAATCAGATAGTCTATTACATACCAGTGTTTTGGCAGAAATTACTGTACAGCCTTCAGTCTTGTAAGGCCTGTTGGCTTCAGCAAAGCAAGCTGGTCCTCTGCCACAAAGAATCTGACATTTAAATGTAGCTTACTGAAAAAACTGTCTTCAAGAAACTTTCAGCATGAGCCTTGGGAACACCAGCAGGTTCCTTTTCTCAATGAAAGAAAACAGTTGTACTTTTATTAAGCTACTTTAATACCTGGTAAGGTTTCAGTACTGCCACAATGCAGAAACAATGTTCTGGTAGACTTATGGTAAATGTTGCAAGCATAATGCAGAGTGTGCTCTGCACTTCCTTGACTCCTAGTCTGCCACATTAGCTGAACAGCTCGTAGTTCTTACCTGCACAACTGGCAGCACGTGGTTTGCATCTGCAAGTCAGATCTTCCACAGAAGAGACAAAACAACCCAAACTTACTGTCCCTGTTCACCAGCACGTGGTAGAACTTGCTTCACTTTCCTTAATCGAAAGTATGCACTTGGATTCACCTGCTACCAGTGGGTGCAAGCAAGTATGCAACCCCCACGTATAAAAGTTACATAGAGCAAGTTTTTCTGCTGGGGAGCAGATCCACTTCAAAGCCCTCATTCCTGGGGAGAGCTCATGAAAGAGCTTACGAACCAAAGGCAGAACTATCACGGTTCAGTGTGACTGCATCTGCAGCAAGGAGCACTAGCATTCCACTTTGGCAAGCTCACCCGTTTTCAAAGCATGTTCAGCTGACCCAGAAGCATTGCAGCCATACCTTAAGGTCAACTTCTGCCAGTTTAAAAATAAAGCAGCTGCCTATACCTTCAGGAAAATAAGGTTTACATTTAGAAAGGCTCAATGGGACTTTCATTGTAAGAAAAAAAATGCCAGTGTCTCCACATGGCCCAAAAGGGAGGTCAAGACAAAACAATACTGCAGCGTATCAAGCAGCAGCAATGTTTCAGATGCGAGTTAAACCCGGTTTTTCTGTTACTCATTTGGGCAACTACATTGGATTCAATTTTCTACACAGCTCATCCTGAAGGAGCAATTTCACATGAGGACTGGCTGCAAAAACCATCTGCTGGAGCAATGTTTCATTCTAGTGACTTATTTAGACTAACACTGGGAGATTTGCTTGGAAAACATTAAAATTTAAGTAGTCCCCAGAATGTGTAAAACCATCTTCTGTGCCTTTTCAGGATCTCTCACTTTAAAATTTTAAATCCCCAGATCTTTAATATTTCACAACATTTTCCCTTGAAATCATAACCTAGAAACATTAAAACAGTCCAGAAACCAGAAGAGCCACCCCAGAGCATCCAAACGCTTCAGAAAATTGTGACTTGGCAGTTCACAGCAGTTCAGGTTTATTTCTCAATTTAAGCAAGACACTCTGAGCTCACGAGTCCATTTCTTTACCTGTGGACCAAACGCCTCAATGTAAAGCCTCTGGAGGACGCCAGATAATTCACAATTTTCCGTTTACAACATTTCAGCCATACAGAACAGAAGCAAACCGATAGCACTACTACCGCTGGAACACAGCAGAACCCAAAGTCTCTCGATCCTTGCCTAGTTGATGAGAAATATCCCTTAAGAAGTGTTAGGTCTAGGATTTTGGATTTTATTATATATTTTTAGATAAATATATATGTATATATTCATATGCATATATATGAATATAAATAAAATAAACATTCCCAACACCAAGTCAGTATCTTTTTTTTTGTTGGTTTTTTTTGAAAGGGGTTAATGCGGGAGCCAAAGATGCAGTGGTTAAAATGACCCAATATCCCCAGAAGAAATGATATGAAGAACAAGGACATTTTGGTATAAAGTTAGTAGTCAAATTCTCCAAGGACGTCTTTTGTTTTTGCTTTTTGTCTTGTCTTTATTTTGTTTGTTCTTAAATGAACAGCCAAATATATTTTTGAACCACCTCCTTGATCTAACACTTAAATTGTCGACATTGTCCAAATTAGTGTAATTTTTTTTTCTTTTTTCCTGTAACGTCACTTGGTTCTTGGCTACTAACCTTTCATGTTACTCTTGGATTTGTCAGTTTGCTTGCCTGTGGGGGTTTGGGCCTGCTGCCCCTGCCCACTGGAAGAGGCTGCCTGCTGTGCTGCTTTCTGCTTTAACATTGTCCAGTCGAATGTGTAGTCATATTGGTGGTTCAGGGTCCTAGGAAAGAGTAAAATACTTCACTGTAACACATTGCAGCTATCTTGTTGCTAACATGAAGACTTTGTTAAAATCCTAGAATTAGAGGTTAAGTTTTATTCAGAACCTGCTTTGGACATTATAAATGGTATAAGACTGCTAGCTATTAATAACTCAAAGGGATTCTTGAAGCAAGCCCAAATACCATCAAGTAGTGTTTTCTTTGCTGTTTATGCAAACGTATGAGTGTGTAAAAGCACTCCCCAATAACCCGGCTATCCTTTTGGCTCTATTGGGGTTCTGCGCTTTTCTTTTTCTTGAAAGACTATAAATCCCAGAACCTGCAATAAAAATTTATGGAGATGCCAGAAACCTAGATATTCTTGATAGCTTCCACAGACCCTATAGACTAGGGGTTTTGTTCTCATTTATCCAACAAGTGCAAAGAAGGGCACAACTGTTCTCCACTGAAGTCCATCTCCTGGGTATTACTACTAGTCCCATCACCAGACTCCAAACATAAAAAGCTTCCAGCACTTCCATGAAGGGATTAATTTATTAATTCAGTTGCAACATCTGGCATTAGTGGCCAGATCACGCAATTCAAAACAGGAGAACCTTTTCCTTCACACTTAACATTGTGCGTTTCCCTCCTCCCACTTCTGAACTGAGTCAATTTTCAAACTCTTACGTGGAAAGAAAATCTCAGAGGAACTTGCTAAATCATACACATATGTGCCAGGTTTCTATAGCATAAATACCACAAAACAGCTACTGACTAGAACAGCATTGACCAATTTCTGTACTTTTCTACTTGGAAACTGACCTGAAAAGAATACGGAATAATTGCCTCAGATACATGTAATCTGGTGCCTCCTCAAAGCGCAGGCCACGACAGTAGTTCAGATACATGGCAAATTCTGCAGGGAATCCCTGTAAATCAACAGCATTAATCAAGCCATGACTTGCAACAAAATGCCTTTTACAATCCCTTAGAAGGCAAAAGAAGTTAAATTGCATATATGATGGCAGATAGAACTGTCTGAAGATTCAGCTCTTCACTTTGCCTGTATTTATGTTGTATTTCAGAAAGTTCATTTCATCAGTATGTTCCTAGACATGCATTCCTTCTCCATTGACAGAATTGTTGGCTGGTATGGTTTGCTTTACTCATCCTAGTTAAAGCTAGTTCTTATTAACCAGGTCTCTGAAAGGAGTAACAAGGTTCTTTTCAAGCTTCCACTTCATATATCATCTTGATTTTCTTGTATATAAATACACTAGAATTAAGGAGAGTTACCCCAGTAAGCGTGAGGACTTAAAACGTGAACAACACCTCTCAAGGATTCCCTGCTTAATGCTTTTGCACATTTACTGCTCTACTAAGCCCAAATCTTGAGCAGGTAATAGTTCATGCATAATCCAGTGCTTTATTACACAAGAAAAAATATAGGGTGGAACAATTTAGTCATTTGGAAGAAGCCATCTCCCCTGTAAGCGTGTATAAACATTAATGACTGGAAAGTCTTATCCTTAGTTCTTCCTACGTAATGTTTAGCCACTACCACCTGTTCCCAAGGACCTTTGGTAACAAGGATATGGCAGCCACAGATTTAAAGAGATAGAGAAGAAATCCTCTGAAGACCTAAGAATAGCACTGAGAAACTGCTAGTCTGCAACATACCTTTAAAGATTACTTGACATGCAATTCCATTACAGCCTCTGTTTGAGATATGGAAGATAACTCAACTAAAGAGGCAGCAACTTAGCTCTGCCTTGGGTTTATTCATCCAGAGGGCACAAGTAAAATGTACATCAAGTTTTAAGAAATAAGCCCTCCCTTAAGAAAAGCTGTGAGCTTGCAGAGCAGACAGTCACCAGGAACTAGAATGACAGCTGCCTGAAATGTTCTAGTAAGCGGCAGAGGATGCCTGCCCCGTAACACATTCGATCTTGTTGGGTGGCCAACACACAAAAAAATTCACGACTGTCATAAAAGCACTAGTCTCACATTACATTTGCGGCTGAATATCTGATACACTGGCTCTAGTGTTAGAAATATCAAAGAAAAGAACTTCCATTTTGCTGCACGACACCATTTGGAAACTCTTACCTTACACAAAACCTCAACAGGAGTGGACATTTTCTTTTCACTAATCTTTTCATACTTTTGCTTCTTTGTTGCAGCCTGTGGAACATGTAGGTCACAATATAAGAGATATTGTGCAACACCAGATTAACAGTAGCAAAAACAGAAAAAAACAAATAAGCAAAAAAAAAACACCCCACAAAATTCCTTTGGTCAATCAGAAATATTTTACATGAAATCTCCGAGTCCCACACACTTACTGCAAAGAGAATGAAGGTCAATCTGGTATTAAGATTTGGACACAGTTTAATACCATTTGTTGCAGTCTAATGCTTCCATCACATGGCACAGCTCGTGTAGTTCTAGCTGCTGCTTTTGTCCATTAAATCGACCAGACTTGCATATCCATTTGCCAAAGTTGTATTAATTCCCACTCAGTGCCCTATTGAAGGGCTGCCTGTGTGTTTCAGTAAGCAGCCATTACATTCATTTGCAGCTGAAGAGTTCTAGTCTTTCACAAGCTGCTTGCCTATTTAAAAGTCTTAGATCTGCAGCTGCAACACCATCTGAGTTACACAACTCCCACATGGAAGAAGAAAAACAATTAAAAGATGGAAGCAAACTACTGAAGTCCATATAATAGAAATATTTGCCACACTTGCACTCTGTTGCCACACATGATAATACTTGAAACAACTCTCTTCAGTCACACTATGAACCAGACGGAAGATACCACTACAATTTAACTTGCTAAGCTGGAGGCTGTTTCTATGCTTTCTACAGCAACAGAAGAAGCCATTAGTAAAGGTTACTTTCCACTTCCCAAAGAAATCATCAACCCAGCACAGGAGAACAACAACTTGGCAAGACTGACGTCAGCTATTGTTTAGCATAAAGTTTAAGAGACTTAAACAACGCACATTCTGCCTTCTGCACAAGAAGCAGAAAGGACCTTTTACATTCTATAAATAACACCTTAGAAAAAGTTTCTTTGTATAACTGCACTAGACATTGCCTACACCTATGCAGCCCCGCAGCAAAGCATTAGACTCAAACCCAAAAAAGGTGTGTGTGTGTGTGTGTGTGTGTGTGTGTGTGTATATATAAAGCTTAAAGAAAAAAAAAGGGGGGAAAAAAAAGGCAGCAGAGCCTACCTTTAATCCTTGCCAAGGAAGACTGGTTCTGTTGAAGTACATCAATACATAGCCTAGAGACTCCATGTCATCTCGACGACTGTAAAACACATAAAAACACTACATTACAAACTTCAGCATTTTATACTTTATTCTAGGTAGTATGAACATTGCAAATTTAAAAACAAGAACTAGGGAGCACAAAAAGAGGCACTTTTAAACACAATTAAGACACCTGGAAGTTTAGGACATTCACTGGCACACATGTAACAAGTCACCAAAACCAGCTGAGTCTTTTCATTCTACAGGCAAGTCAGTACGTGTTGTGCATGGTTACGTTCCTTATATCTGCAGGTACATTGCAATTCATGCGGAAGCATAAAGCTTTGGAAAAAAAAATGAGGATCTTTGGCCTTCTTTACAGATCTTTCATTAAACCTAGATTCAGTTGGAGACCAATACTGAACATCTAGACTCACACGAGCAGCTCATTTTCCAAGGGCATAATTCCATTCTTCATTTCTAACCCGCAAAATTGAAGAAGGATCTCAAGCATCTCCATGTTGCAAAAAAACAAGGTACTTCAAAAGCAGTATGCATCATCTGAGAGGTACTGCTTTTCTTACATTCCAAACCAAAATCAGTTTCAGCACAGTTTGGGAGTTTTGGAAGTTAAAGGTCTATAGAATTAACGGGAGAATTTGCATGCAAATTCTCACCCATAGGGCTTCCAACGTGCTCTATACTGCATATACTCTAGATTCAGGCTTCAGCCATACAAACACTGCAGTAATTTGCTGCATAGGTTTCATGAATACTAAGGCTAGTAGAGTTCACAGGGGTGGGGAGAAAGTTCCATGACTGTTTCTTCCTGGCAAAGTTGCCTCTTCCCGGCTACAGAAGGGTCAGACTTTTCCTCTGACTGTCCCTCTACTGTCAACACCTATTTCATATGAAATAGAAAAGTAATTTATGCTGTTTTTTTTCCCCTCCCTTGAATGCCTGGGGAACCTGTCAGGTTTTCCTACTTCTCTGCTGCCCAAGCAGGATCTGCAGGAAGAGTATTTAGAAGATGGCAGACAAGACTTTACCCCTCCCACCCCAGCAAGAAGCTAAGGGCTGAGAGGGTGGAGTGTGAACAGGATTACATGTAAGGCTGACAGTAAAATGACACTCTCACTTGAGCACGATCTAGAGGAACAATCTAAAGGAACCAGAACAGTTCCGCTGCCCCCAGAACTTCGTATTAGAAGAAAAACTACAGGTGAAGCTTCACGTTACAGCCAAGCCAATATAACCACCAGTTACTGCCAAAAAGTGCCTTGCCTACCCACCCCTGAATCCTGTAGCAGCTTCCTAACCTTTCTGGGGGCCAGCTCAGGGAGTTGCATTGGAGGAGTCTCCTTGGTTCCCTGAATCAGATCACCGCAAGGACAAACAAGCACTAGCTGTGCATGAGGGTCAAGGAAGAGAAGGGGTTCATGCCTCCCAATAGCACCCAGCTATTAGGTCATCACAGCTGGAATGCGAAACCACCGTGTAGGTCAACGGGGTGAAAAGGATAGTAAACAAGACCACAAACTCCAGCCTGCAGAATTTCTAGTTCCATGAGACTTGCAGATTTTAATCATCAACAGAATCCAGTGAACCCATACAGAAACACAAACTACCATTAAAACTCTAGAAGGTGTAATGGATTCAGCAGCATAAAGGCTCTAAACAGACTCCTTCACCACGTGGTTCACTCTTTTATTGTTTAACTACATAGCTTTCTAGTAGAAAGTACAAAATTTGATTTCAAACTTTTTTTTGTTTTTAATACTACTTTTAAGTATATACTCATAAAAGCGTATTTCAGAATCTGAGAGATAAAAAGATAGTCTCCATTAAGACAATAAACGGAGAATTTCACCCACAGCGACTCAGAATTAGGTGCCCTTACATGCAAGAAGACATATTCTGTAACAGTTTAAGTAAAGCACTATCAAATTATATATCCTGACACACAATGTCGGGTCTGGCTTCTCTTGTTTACAAGAGCGTTATTTGTTTGTTTCACTGCTTGCTCCTAGACAGTTTAATGGCTTTTTAAATATAGACCACATTATATTTCAAATTTCATCAGAATTGTCAATGCCAGGAGAGAGGCCATAAGATCTCCAAATGAATTTAAAAGCAATCATGCTTTGCAGGTCCCTCCTTGCATTGCAAAGGGCTAGCATAGCTACTTCACTACAAGAAGAGCTTATAGTCTGCAGCATATACGTGCTTAGCTCAGAAATTACACCCAACATTTGTTCTACTTATCAATTAAGTTTGAACAATGACATTGAATCAAGGAACCCTAAAATTAAAACATGCACTTATTCATATAAAACTACTTCAGAAACTTCAAAGTTTTACAAGATCATCCTATAACCACCAAGGCAACTGCAATGATCTGCTTAAACTCACCTCTGCTCAATGCCAAGGTGCGCATTGATACTGGCGTATCGAGCTGTGCCAGTGAGATTTTTGTCTTCTCTGTATGGTATGTGCTGCCTTGTCCTGTTGTCCCGGTACTTTTTGGCCAAACCAAAGTCAATAAGGAATAACTTAAAGAGAAATGAAAATAGATTATATTCCCGCACAACGCAAGAATTTTCAGCCTCTTTTACTATGTAATAGCTATAATTTAAGAAAACCACACAATGTAAGAGCCTACAGTTTAGAGGAAGCAAAGTAACATTGCAGAGTCTTGACTAGCACGTTCAAAAATCTTAATACTGAATTAGTTCAAGCCTCTTCTCAATCAATCCAGTGAAAAAGATTAGGCTGTGCTACTCAACACTTGTAGCTTAGTTCTAACTATTTTGTGTTACTACTAGAGTCTGTATTATGCTAGTTCAGTAACTACAATGCATAATTTAGGAAGGGAATTAACGTGCAAAAGTACATCTCACAAAAACCCACTTACATTGAAGCAGTTTACACATACAGGAGGTTAATGGCAGCTCAGCAACATAATGCTAATGATGTACTGTACTTCTCTATTTAATAAGAACACAGGCCATTCTGCAGAGGATATGGCCAAAAACTTCAACAACAAACAAGACTCCTTGCTTTCATCATACGCCCATTTTAAGACTACCAGAACACTATCACAGCAGCATGAAACTCTTGTTGATTATATTAATAAAGCCAGAAAGCTGCAGCCTAGCATACAGAATTCAATTTAGGTTTCTAATTACCAAGCTTGACCAATGAACTGGCATTTAGCAACTAATGAGTGTGTGTTAATGAGCGTGCTAACAGCCAACCTGCCTACAGAGGTTAATAAAGATTTTACCTTCCTGTGTCAAGACTAATAAGACTAGGTAACAAAAGCTAAGGCAGAAGGACATATGAAGCATTTCAAGTTCTAACAACCAATCTTCAAATTACATGTCATCAAGTCAAATGCCTGATTCTATTGCTGAGATTAACCCTATAGGATCAAGGACACCAATCCCTATAAATTAAGAAATACTGGTAAGGCAGCTATCGAGGGATAGGGAAGGGGGGGGTGATGGGAAGATGACAAGGTTAAGTTCACTAAAAATCTATTCAAAATCACTTTTAAAGTGATTCCAGAACAGAAGACTTTAAATGCTAACAAGTAACAGAGACTGCCTTGCAGTTGGATCTGGAGACAGGCAGGCTGGCTCATTCAGGCACGCTGGAACTGTGTGAACCTCAAAGTGACACTTGGCAAGGAAGAGACTGAATAAAGATGCTGAAGATCTGAAGATCTCTGAAGTGCACAGTTGCTATTTTTTTTTTAGAATAGCTGGTTGTAACTTTAAAAAAAAAAATCAATTCAATAGTCTAGAAAAATACTTAAAAGTCATCTCAAAACACAGATGAGAGCACAGGAAACCATGAGCTGAAGTCTTGCCACACGTTCTATGCAACCACAAAGCCTGGTTCTTCCACATTTGCTTTCTACAAGTTGTTCTACTGAAAGTCACCCTCAAAGCCTAGAAGTCTTTGAACAAGATGTCAAACAAGTTTTAAAATCTCCTCCCTGGTCAGACAATAGTTTGGAAAGTCAGGATGGGGGTGAGGAAGGAGGCAGTGGGGGCTTCTTTTCCTTGTTGCACCCAATACAGCCACCACTAGAGGCAGTTACTCACTTAGTGAGCAAGAACATGTTTTCAAGCTACCAGGAAATGATTTGTGTAAAGGGAGTGTAAAGCTCATATGCGATTACTATGCTGCAAATTCAACTTCCCTAAAAGGAAAAGTTCATCTCAAATGCAATTCCCTGTTTTCTGACTAGAGCTTTGTAATCTGCTGACAGCCTCTGATGCGTAGTTTGCAGTAGCTACTTTGCAGGATATTTGCCAATCAGTTTATGCAAGATACTATGCCAGGAGCAGGGAGAAAGCAACAACAAACAAACAAAAAAATCAGTACACACAGCCAGAATATTGTCACTGCACAGGAAGCCATACATTTTAAAGAACTCAAAATCTTTACTTGCTTTTTATAATGCTAGGCATTTTTCCATTAATAATGTTATGAAGGGACAGAGTCTGAAATCTAGAATCTATTGCTGAGTGGAAGTATGCCTTTAATGCATGAATACTTAGTGTCTAGCTCTTAAATTTATTTGGTAGATACATACACAGTCTGTTTTTCGCTAGCCAAGTGCCTGGATATTATTTTACAGCACTGACTTCTCTGGGCAAGTTTCCTTTGTTCTCTAGCTGAGGCCGATTATTCCCTATTCTAAATAGGCAGAAGTTAAAGGAATATGATCACCTTGAAAGAAGTTAAAATGGAAGATATAAATCTGATCTGAATGAGCACAGAATCGACCAATACCAGCCAGCCCTGACACGTAAGTATTTCCACAGGTAACCTCATACCACTTCAGTTCTGTTTCTTGCATGATCAGCAGGAAACCTGAGAAGCAGAGCAAGATTTCTGCCAAGAGCAAGTAGGGAAGTAGATCAAAGTTTCTGCGTCAACTGATAAGCGAGTTTGAGAAGGAGATAACACCAGTCTGTCAGTGTGCACAGCACAGCTAACTGTCTGGTATCTACTAAGTGAAGATTATTGTTGTGGAAAGCTGCTAACTGATACCATGGACACACTCCTGAGCTATGATTTGTACTCAGCAGTTTCCAACTGTCCTACTAGAAACCAGCGTATGTCTTCATTTCTTTCCAATCTGTCTTCTTTTGAAGGAGTCAGATGTACGCTTCACTTTACAAGATAAACTTGTGCTTATCCAAGGCACAGCATACTCGAGTTACTTCATTTTGATTCACTGGGATTATAAAATAAGAGAATTCTCAAACAGCCAAAAGCTTATGAACAAAACCTGTGCAGGGAAAGAGTCTGGCAGAAGGGATGGCAGAATTTCTCCATGTGCATTCAAACACACTGCAGGAACCCTACAGGAAGGCAGGAAGTCAGCCCTACACAAAAGCCCTCATGTTTGTCTAGAATGGCTTGTCTACCCTTTGGATACATGGAACAGATTGCCTTTGAGTTTTGAAAGACAAAAATAGAACCCGATTCTGCATTTGAAACCAAGCATGTACATTCAGCCCTTTTAAAAAAATCAAGTTGAGAAATAACTTCACAACTTAAACAAGCGCCACAGGGAAACATCTTAGTAATGTTACATGTTTGCCAAGTATGTCTGAATAATGCCAACATAAGAGGTGCTTTTGCAAGGTCTACATTCTCCAGAAAGAAAGAACAAAACAAAAAAAAAAACCGAAACAAAAAAAATAAAGCACATGAACTTGGGGTTGAGGTTGGAATAGGAGACAGTTCAGACCTGGTTTAATCCTGAGAAAGATGGGTCCTGAGAAGTACTAACAGTCATGCTTCTTTTCCTCTTCCCCACTGGAGATTCTAAACACTGAACAAACAATAGAGGGTGGCAGTGCATCAAACAGTATTGCTCACATTGCAACAAAGGCCGGCGCAGACAGGCAACACCGAGGCGTTCGAGAAAGAACAGGGTAGCCAAATGCCATCCTTCTTCCACCAAGCACTGTAGTTTTTCCATGATTTATTGTTTTGGTTTGTTTGTTTTAGGGAGGAAATTTGAAAGATGTGGCAAGGTTAATTTTGACTGCGAGCCACTTCAGAATGACACTGCCTCGATCAGGGATAGCAATGGTGACATTTGGCTCTATTAAAAAAGGAAATTGAAGTTTTGCTTACAAAAGCAGCCTTTGGTTCCACAAACTGCCCTTCCCCCAAAAGACATTTAGAAAAAGTAAATCTTCAGTAAGGAAGAGGTAGAAGGCATTTAGTCACCTTAAGCTTTACTTTCATAAGCATGCAGGGCTTATTTCTAGCAAGGCTGAAATTTCACCTTTTAAGGTGGGAGTAAAATATCTCCCAATCATCAAATTAAAAATTTGGAAAAAAAATCAATTAATTTTGTCTATATTTTTAAAATATAACTGACAGGAAGCTACTGGAACAAGATTACCATGCTATTCTAGTCTTTGTGGTTGATGCATCTTTAAGCAGCGTGTGGACAACTTTTAAAAAATGGGGGAAAAAAGGCAAAACAAAAAACCACCAACCACCCCAAACTGCACTCAACTACAAAAAGAAACAAAGTAAGTACTGTGTGGTGCTATGTGCGACCTAGATAAGGCATCTATTGTTTCAAAACTGAAGCAATCCATTTCTAATTTTGCATAAGCAAATGTGCAATCCAATTAGTTTGCACTTTTGTCAAGAACTCTCCCCTTTATCTCTTAACGCTGCATCAGTAAGTGAAGCCTATCATCACAGAAAGTGTTCATCCAGAGTATTATTTTGTGACTCCATAAGTAATCTACAAATGGAAAAAAAGGGAAAAAAATCATGGTTTACAGGCAATTTTGGTTTTCTATTTCAGCTGATGCAGACCTAGTGTGTCCCTCTTCTAAAACATGTACAGCAGCTTTTTCTAGGCCATTATTCCACGTCAAGACACAAAGTGTGGCAATGCCAGCCCGGCATGACAATGCAAAAGGGTAGAAAAATGGCCCAGAAAAAGAATGCTTAGAAATCAGATGCTAACACTAGGAAAAAAGTTTTCTAGTTATATTGCTAAGTCATGTCAGAAAATTAGGGAGCCTAAATGCTCAATATAGCAGAGAAAAATAGAGCTCTACAGAGGGAAAGTATGAAACTTGGGAACAAGCAAAGTTTAATAGCAACAGGATTACATGAAAACTACCTTTCATATGGACTGTTACAAACAGTTTCAAAATAGTTAAACTAAACATTCAGTGCATTGCACCTCTTCAGATAAGAGCATAATCTCATGTCAATCGGTTTTCCTCTTCTAACGTTCATGGCCCTGAAGTTGGCATTCATACAGGCAAACAAAGGTAAACATTTTAAATACTAAGTGCCTAAAGACGGTAGACATTCGCTGATGGCCTATTCCTAAGTGGGAATCTTGCTTCCAATAAACAGCTTGATCGTGTACGTTTGTCCTGAAGTTAATTTCTATTAAGTAGCATGCTTAATGCATTGCCAATGCTGCCTGTCTGCCCGAGCTCGACACACAAATTGCAAGATTAAGCATTTCACTTAAGAACTAAAAATAAAGGAAACAAAAAACAATATGTCTCTATGTAAGGTTTTTCAACTGAAAACATGCACTTCTGGCTAAGAATACCCTCCATTCAAAGAAATTTAACACCTCAGCACCTCCCTCCCCACATCACTCTTCACAAAGTTCACAGAAAGCAGTTTGTTTTACAAATTCAGCTACTTTACATCTTAGCAGTTTTCCATCACCATATTTGCACAAAATCATTCACACAATCATATAATGAAAAGGATTTTATGTTGACTGTTAGTCATATCCACAACTCTTGGGGCTGAAGTCTCTTTACCAGTCAGGCACTAAACTTCAACGCCCTGATGACTGGTAGCTCCGGAGCTCCCACGCTGCCATGAATTCTTTTCATCCCAGAAAGACTATTCCAAAGTCACAGAAAAGATTAAACTTTAACATCAAGGGAAAAAAGTGCTATTACAATAGCTATCTCAATAATGAAATATCACCATTGAGGAAAGTAGTCAAGTATTTTCCAGGTTGAGTTTATAATCTTGTTGCAAGCCTAGAACTCATCTTGCAGCCAAGTCCATCTCTGTGTGACCTGCATATGGAAATCGCTGCATCTGGCAGTAGACACTGGGAAATCCAAGTTCTTGCACTGAAGAATTATGGCTTTAGCATCCAAAACATCAATTCAGCAATGATTTTCATAAAAGCTATGCAGCTAGAAAAAAAAGTCAATCATAGCCATTCTCTTTGGATCATTCAAGCAAAAAGCATTAGACTAACCTTATTACAGTGACGCCCGATACCCATTAGGAAGTTATCTGGTTTAATGTCTCTGTGTATAAAATTCTTTGTGTGCACATATTCAATTCTACTGATCATCTGTAAAAAAAAAACACACACGAAACAAATCCGAACAGTTAGAATTTCAGTGACAACAAAACAATTTATTGAAGCTTGAAATAAAGCAAGACTTTGTAGGTTTGTAGGGCTGCCTTCCTCTGCCACATACGCCGAGAAGTTTGATTTACTAACCAAATGATGACAAGATACTTGCTAAATGAAAGCCAAGTCTTTTCTTAGACCAAAGTAATATACTAAAACATTAAGCCACCTAACTTATATAGTCTTGGTCAGGAACTGGCAGTTCAAATGCCTGAAACTACTTCCCAGACATTTTAGTTTGTCTGACTGTGATATCCCATTGGTGAATAATTTTTCTAGAGCTTTATTTCAAAAATAAATACCTACCATGAAACCCTTCTCATCTGTTACTCACTCATTCATCCTGTTCCATGCATCATTTTTCCAGTTAGTAATTCACATAGCAAGTAACAACTTGTTTGCGACCTACATCATCCTAGTCCTAGTAGGGGCTACCATGATCCACAAAGAGTCAGCAATGAAGATGGAAAGAAACACTGACACATCTGCATCATCATATATGATGTTTCCGATGTATTCAATCACAGCATATGCATCTGTGACGCAGCTTTTTAACTAAAAGATATTTCCTTAAAGTCTTTCGTGTGTTTAAGTATTTTACAGCATCACGCCCTTGACAGCAGTTCTACTGAACCTTATCCCAAGGGTCAGTTTTCTTGCAATGATATCATAAAGTCTATCTGAATGTTTCCAAATGATAAGTGATTAGTGCTTATCATACAAAAAAGCTATACATGAAAGCTATATAGATGTTCTGAAGATGCTTTATTATCCTGACTAACCTAAGCGGGTGATTCATTCTAAAGCAAGCTTATCAGTCCCACAAAGCAGCTGAGAAAAGGGACAGTTCACCTTTGTTTCTAACAGGAACTCTCAACTTCCCTGGCTGAGAGCCTGGGATTCTATGACCACCTGGCTAAGTGACAATTTGGTACTAACATCAGTTGGATAATATTAGGTGACCTTCAAACCACCGTTGGAAATTCAACTCAAGAATCACTTACTGCCTTCTAAAGTAACTGAAGACAGTGCTTAGTAAGAGAACAAATACAGCAAAGCATTTCAAACACTGTACTCACAACCATGTAAAGTGCTAGAAAAGCTTAAATCTAGACATTCCTGATAAGAAAGCTCAGTTTTAGAGGCCTAGGCTAATTTTGAAATAAAGAACAGCAATTGTACTAACAGTTTAAAGAGCTGTCTTAAGCACCAGAACATGCAGACCAGCTGTTAACTCACGTTCTGGTATGGGAAAACAGCAAGTCGAGAGGATGGTGACATTCCATGAGAACAGTGTTTACTATACAGAATACAGCATTACACATTTAATTCACCTGAAGGAAATGATGTTACAGAAAACTCTTAATGGTTGTACAACTCCTTGCAGTGAGATTTGTACATACCTGGTCTGCTAACATAAGTACTGTTTTCATCGTAAACCTGCGAGAACAGAAGTTGAAAAGGTCTTCAAGGCTGGGACCAAGAAGATCCATAACTAGAACATTGTAATCCTTTTCTTGACCATACCACCTGCAACAAAGAAAACTGGTATTAGCAGATATCTTATAAATTCGAGCCTTAGCCATTAAACATTATTAGCCAGTAAACATTACTCAGTCTAGCAGTTAAACTATTATCAAGCAGCAGAGAGAGTTACCATAGTTGTGAATGCACAAATACGGACATCCTCCAAAGGCACTGCAGAATACAATATACAGCTCTAGAGAATCAAACATTCTGAAACTCTCATACTAAAGGTTTTGAATTTCTAGGAGAGTAACAATTATAAAAGACATATCCTGTTACTTCTGAGCATCCTGTGCAGAACTCTCAGCTGGAACAGTTCCATTTTAAGCTTCTTGCCATCAACTCTCAGGAAACAGTTGCCAGTGCCAGTATAAGTTCAGTTAACTTATATTCAGAGAAATCAACTAATATCAATTTCTTCAGCTTTTATTTTCAGATGTAACTTGCCTGCAACAGATCAAAGCAGATCACACAGGTAACAGGAATACTATCATTCATCCAAGTTTAATAGCTAATTGAAAGTCCTGTGCATGATGGCAAGTTTTTATTCTATTAAGTAAATGATAAATAGTCTTTGCTAGGTTTAGGTTTTGCCATACAAGGAAAATATTTAATTAAAAACCAGAATGTAGCAATACACACATTTTTCCACCAAGCAGACTGTGTCAGTTCTGGCCCTGGTGGCCACAATGCTGCTTTTTGCCTCTGCTAGGCAGCCAGCCCTTGTGACAAGGACACAGTACTAGCACTCCGTGGACTAGCAATAAGCAACTGCCTCCTGGAATAGATTTGAGGTTTCCAGCAACAGTGGTGAAGCTAAGACATCCCAAATATATACTCCTTAAAAGCAAGCAGATGAAGGAGTAGAGGGAATGGAAAGTCCTTCAGCTTAAGCACAGCTCAGAGGCATTAGGACTAATGCATGGTTGCCTGGAAAAGATAAAGTTACCACTGATAAAGTTGACAAATTCTTTGGTACTCTTGGAAAAGATTCCAAGCAAACTGTCAGGTTAGTAAAATGTTTTCAAAAAGCAAAGGAAAGATCCTATAAGCAGCTTCAGCATGGGAATTACTGGCCTGAGTCTTCCCACTGTCAAGATTCTAGTAGAAACCACTTTTACCAAGTTTTTAAATAATGCATTGTAAAGTCAGTATGGGCCACAGCCTACATACAATCAGGTCAGTGTAAGAGTCTCTCATCCCCTATGCCAAGGAGCTGAAGACACGCATTTTAAAATTAGTCATTCAAATTAAGTGCCTCCCACATGTTAAGTACTCACACTACTGGCAAGTTCATTTTGTCTCTTTGACTTCTAAAAATTCATCAAGATATTAAGATTTACAGAAAAGTTACAAGTGAGTCAACTGGGAAAGCACGCTGCATGGTATTATTTGAAAAGGTCTGTAGTTCACAAAAAGGTTGGCACTCACAACGGAATCTGATGCTGAGCTACCAAACTTAGGCATTTTAAGGCTGAAAACCTCTGCCCAGATAGGCTCTTTTAAGAAGTAATCAAAAATTATTTTTTACTGCAAAAGCAACCAAGAGGAGTAGAAATATCATATTCTTTAGAGTTAGGGAAAGAGACAAAGTTAGATACTGTCAAGAAAAAAATTTACGTTCAACTACAGAGCTGCTTCTGCTCAGGAACTACTGAATATGCCTGCAAGACAACCTCTTAATTCCTATGCAAACTGACAAGTAGCTTTGACATGGTTCTGTGAACACCTCAGTGCATCATAGTTCAAAGTGAAACACTACAGTAAGCCAGAGTAACAAAAAGTGGGAAAAGAAAACAAATTTTCTTGTTATTTTGCCGTATGAAGTTTAGGCTTGCTGCAAGTCTGAAATAAATAAGCTGAGACAAAATCAAGCATTCTAAAGAATAACAAGAAAAAAATAAAACAGTTTCTTCAAGAAATGTAACTCCAACTGAGGTACTAATTATTTGGTACAGTAGCAGTTCAACACCCAAGAGACTGCAGCATAAGGGAAAAAGATCAAGCAATTGCCTTCAACTCGGAAAATTTAGTTACAGCAACACACACAAAGTAGTAAAACTGATGAAAGAGAACCCTACCCAGGGAGCTCCATTTGTAAAGTATTTGGTTCCTCTACAGCAGTCTCTCTGGACTGTAATTGCATTTATTCAGGTTGATTGCCCAACCTCCATTTGGCCTACTTCCGCATATGCACGTCAAATTTTTTTTTTTTTTTAAATCACCTGACCATTCTGCACTGTTGGAAAGCAAATTCTGCAAGACAAAGCAGTAAGTTGGGTTCTCTTAACATTTCATTATGTTTACTTGCCAGTAATTTCTTACAGAGAAGTTTTTCCACTCATGTAATTTCACTACTGACCACTGTAACTTCCGTTACTATGTTAAGCAACTTGAGCTTTATTTGCCTTGTTGACGTTGCATGCATGATTTCCTTAGAATTTTTCTAGGGTAAATGGGATTACGTGGATTAATGATGTCCACTCAAAGCCTATCTAGCGGTTGCTACTACTGACAGTCAGAAGCATTAAAAGTCTTGGCTTTTCCTAGGAAACCTTGGAAAATATTCTTAGGACCTTGGCAAGTGCTGTTTACTCCCATATTCATAAAAATCAATGTAAGATAGAATAAAAGCACACAGAAAGCACAAATTCAGAGTAGTTTAGGAGGCAGGTCTTAACATTAGTGACACACACAGTCAAGGTGTAAAACATTACAGCAACAAAAGCATCTCAAACACTAATCTCTCAAATATAAGTCTCCAGATGTGCTAATGCTGCATCAGTCACTGAGATCTGGAGCACAGAGAGAAATTTAACTACCTGACACATCATGTGTTATTCTGGAGGTGGGGTGGGTGGAGTGAATTTCTCCACTTTCACAGTGAGTACGTCCCAATAAAATGTATTTACTAAAATGGGAATTTTGATTCAGAGTCACAGATCCACATATACAACTTATGTCAGGAAAATGCCAACTGTGTGTTACCATTGACTTGACTTTAATGAGGATTAGCAGTAGAACACATTACCGAAGGCTCCAGAAACATCAGCAAAACCATGTTTTTAGGCACTCAGAAGAGCCCAGTTACTGTATTGCTACCTGTTTGAGGGTAACAGCTGATGTAACTGGTACATATGTAAGCCTTAAGGTGTGTCCAGGTTCATTCATGTATGAAAATGCTTTGTCACCCTTACCAGTCTTGTCTGTTTATGATTATAGATCAGTTAAACAATTCAGTCAGGATACAGTAAATACCATTTATGAAGCTTTCAGCCAAATCACGGTTGAAGGTCCATCACAGTGACGTTGATCCAACTTCGGTTACATTCTAATTTGAAAGACTAAGACTCACCACGTCAGCAAGTTTCCAAATCATGTGGTTCAAAAGCCTGATATGCAGCCCAGTACATGCACTGAGGTGAAACTATTTGTAACATCCTCAATTTCAATATTCTTATCTCCACGCAGAACAAGACACATGATACAGAAGTACAGAACCATTAGGTTTCCAAAGCTCACACAGTTAAGTGGGCATTATGTCAGATCATGACATATGTCAATGTTTAAACTCATGTTTTTTTTAATTCCCTTGACTAACCTTGAGGCAAGCAAGTGAAGTATTGATGCACATCTAGCATTTAGTAGCAAATAGTGTATTCAGGTCTACCCAAACTTATAATCCTCTATCTTCAGAGATCTTTCAAAAATTGTATGATGTCTACTTCAGCAACTGCGTACTTCCTAAACAACGTCAATGACAAAAGAAATGATGTTTGAGAACATGTGCATAGATTTTTACTGAGAAAATATTTCATTTGGTTATAACAGTATTCTTTCTGTTAGATATTTCTTCTTTTGAAATGGCTGGGTTGGTACAAGCCAGCCCCTTCAGTGCCTTGTTTGCCAGCTAATGGAATCCAGACAGTTTTAGACTATAGTGCCACTTTAATAGTTCTGCAAGATACCCAGTTGCTTAATCCTGCACCATAGTTACATATTGTGTTAATAGTTATAATAGCAACAACAGCAGGGCAACAAAAGCTGTGCAACTATCCAAACTGTTTAAACTGCTCAAATTTTACACAACAGAGAAGGATTCTGGAAACTTGCTTGAAATGCCTCAAGTTCAAATGGAGATTAATTCAAGCACCAAACAACTGTAAATACTGCTGCTCATCAGCCACACAAGGCAAAACTCGCATATTCTTAAACCAGTAAAGGCCACCATTATGGATCATGTTGTTTTGTCCACAGCTGTATTAGAGACTAAAGTTAGCTCACTGCCATAGCAAAGTATTCCTGTCACAAAAGCAACTATAGTTTGGACAGTTTGTGTTCCAACTTACAGACATTTTCTTCTAACAGCAGCTCTTCTTTTCCAGCTAACCTATTCTCTGCTAAAAGCATCAGTTCAGTTTCCATCTCTTAACTATGCAAGTGGAGGGTGCAAAATAGCAGACTAGAACTAAGAAGAACTGAAGAAGGTGACTCTTAATACTCGAGACAGAAAATCTCATTGCCTCTCTGCAAGACTTGGATTTCTTTGAGATCATTAACTTTGCCACTTTTTTTTTTTTTTTTGGGTCATCTATGCTATGATACCTTGACTAGCCCTATACAATTAGTTTCTCATCATTTTGACTTTCAAATTGACTTTCAAACACCAAATGGAACTGCTCACGTGCCAACAGTTGCTATTATTAGAAGAGGAGTGCATAGTAAAACTATTACAAGGAAAGTAAGTTAACAGTGAACAATCTATAAAGAACTTACTACTGGAATCACCTGAGATGACCTTACTAATAAGCTTGACAAGTCAGCAGGCAGAGGAGGGTGAACATGAAATCCCAGAAAATCTCATGAACACATAGGATTCAGACATGCTGTAGGAAACCAAACGCAAACTGCATTCCACTTCTACAATCATTAAGTTATTTCTAAAAGGTCAATGAATTAATCATTAGTCAAATGATTTGACTGAAGAGAACATCACAGACTTC